ATGATTCTATGATTTACCTTTTCTAACAGTCCAGAAGCTTTCACACCTTCTGATTTTGGCTCTTCTGTAGCCTCAGCAAAACAATGAGAGAGATTTCCCTGGGAGGAGCTGGAAGGAACAAGTACAAGGGTATAGTTGCTTGCGAGTTGGTTGTCATCCTTGAATGCAGCCCACTGTACTGAGAGCCCTCTTTATGGCAAGTTGATCCTGTCTTTTTCCTTTGGATGTTCTGCTCCTGAGGGATTTCCCAGCTGCCTGAGAGGTTGTTGCATGGGGTCCCTGTAAGTGGATTTCACATGTGGGGCCATGATAGGGAGGAAAATTGCAGTTTTATAATCTTTCAAATGGAAAAATGTGTATGGGCAAAGCAGATCATGTGGTGTCAGTCCTGTTTGGAAATCTCTGGGCCAGTCTTTGCTATTGAGAAGTTTATTATCCCACTTTGAATTCTACAAGGATCTGGGTTTTTTTTTCCTTTGGGGGGCTGTTTTTTTTTTTTTTCATGAATGAGGAGTAAGAGGGAGCTAGTGTCACAGAAATTCAACTGGAGCTGAAGTAAGGACCTTCAGCAAAAGGATGAATGATGAAAATGATGAAATCCTGAAAGAGAGGGGGGAAAAAAAAAAGACTACTTTGACGGCTGAGAATTTCCACAGTAATTTTAACAAGTGGCATCTCAGTGGCAGAGTATGAGAAGGGGTCATTTTAGAGTCAAATGAAAGAAATAAGAGATAACGGGGAGAAATGCAATTATTTCTCATAACCTTTCGCTTGCTTGAGCATAGTTATCTCCTACAGTACAGATTCCTTTGTTTTGTTTATTTATTTATTTGCTTTAGTAATTTTTCTAAATAGGGGCGACCTTATTAAACCCTTCCTATGGCTAATTTTAGTTGTGGAAAATAGGATCTGTCTTTGCAGTAGATGAAGTGAGGATCATCCAGCTATTCAATACAGCATAGAGTTCCAAGATATTGCAAAATAATTCTCCTGCAGTATCTAGCTGCTCAGTTTGCCCTTAGAAAAAGCTTGGTATTGTCATCTCCTGAATCATTTTCATTGCAGTTGGAATTTACTGTGTACAGCTCTTCCTGCACATGATGGGTCATCGCTGGTAGTTATCAGACTTGGCTTCTTTGTTCTCTGTGTTCAAGGCTGAGAAGTATTTGCAAATTTGTTCCTCCAGAAAGTTAGTTTTCCTTCCAAGAAGGAACTTTGTGATGTATTAGTGATGTCCTTTTATTCCCCTTTTGTAATTTCATCCTTAAGACAGAGGTTTCTGACTGGTAGACAAATTTTGCTGAATTTCTGAGCTTCTGAAATTTTCCTATTAATATGGTCTTTTTTCCCCTTAGAAAGAGAATTTAAAAGCCTGCAGTAGACTTGCTCTTCTGAGTTATTCTTTGCAGATCCCTCGCATGCAGTCCAATTCCTGCAGAAAAATGTTGACCTAATTTTATTTTTCCTCCGTCCCAGTTTGAATTTTTGGCAGACATCCTCCTTCCCTCCCACCCTCCCCCCTGCCCCACACACGCATCTTGTGGATATTTTCCCACCAGCTCTGGCTGCGGAGGTGCTGCTTTGCTTTTGTGTTATTCTGGGACCAGAGCCATCTTTCCGTGTAAGCAATCCGAGCGCTGCTCGGGATCATGCACTTCGGAGGTCACGGCAGGCCTTGCTTGTCTGCTCCTCCTCTTCCATCATGTTACCATGTGTCAGCTGCTGCCCAGTAATTACCCCTGTGCCAGCTCTCACCCGTCGGATTGATGTGAATGCATCTTTCCAGCATCAGCTGCTTGTATTGTCTGGTGGGAAGTCTAATTTTGTGCGTAATAAATGAATTGTTCCTTTAAGTGCATATAGTCCAGCTGTTCTTGTTCACTTTATCTAACACCATTATTTGCAACCAGCAATTGCGCTCCAGGGTTGGCAGGCGGTTGGAAAACTACTGAGATTCTCTCCAGATGTTTGCCCAGGCCAGGCTACTAGCACTGATTTTATAGAAACAAAGAACATTTGATTTTTATTTGGAAATGATTGCTATGTGTGCTCGTCGTGCTCCAATTATTTGTCTATGTTTGAGTGAGTCTCCAAAGCCCACAGCTCTCTCCATCTCTTCAGTGTGTTGTATGCTGGTTGTCTGTCTGTGCATAACATCTTTGGCATGCCACTTGCTGTGGTGGTGTACCCAGGCTGTTGGATGCTTGGCTGTTTTTGAGCTCCTGTTGAATCTCCAGTCTTCTGCCAGCTTCTCCCATGAAGGAAGTGCAGGTCAGCATGGGAACAGAAGCCCTAAAGTGAAATTCATCTCACCTAAATCACCCACCTGCCCCCCACCATGGGCAGCTCCCTCTGAACTGGCCCCTTTGAACTTCTTTTGGCACCCTTGGAGAGAAATGGAGCCTTCATGGGCAGGAGTAATAAGCAATTTCAGAAGTAGACCTTAGTGTGGGAATTATTCTTTAGAAGAGCTTCTTTTCCTCCAGCCTATAGACGCGTCCTGGCTTTTCCCTTGCTGTTCAGTGGTCTTTCTGATACCAATAAGTGGAATCTCCTGCTGATCCAGTTCTGAGAAGTTGAACTTCTTGAGCAGAAGCAGCTTTTTATACTTCTTTGACAGATCCCACAGGGAAAATAGGGCATCCAAAACAGGTGATCCCAGTCCCAGACAAGATCATCGAAGCAAGCAGAGTGTGTTGCCTGATGGTCTTTCTGATACCAATAAGTGGAATCTCCTGCTGATCCAGTTCTGAGAAGTTGAACTTCTTGAGCAGAAGCAGCTTTTTATACTTCTTTGACAGATCCCACAGGGAAAATAGGGCATCCAAAACAGGTGATCCCAGTCCCAGACAAGATCATCGAAGCAAGCAGAGTGTGTTGCCTGAGAGCTTTTCCTGGAGAGCTGTGGCGGCATGGAGGGGTCTTCGTTCGTGGGTGGGTGTAAGGTCTTGTGGCCCAGCCCCATGGGCAGGACAGTGGTCCTGATGTGTTGCCTCTTTTTTATGGCGTGGAAGGTGACCTGTGGCCTAAAACTCCCTTCCTGCTCTTCATCACTCACAAACGTTACTAGTATTAGACAAAAAGCTTCAAGGGCTTTTAGAGTTTGAAGAGGTAATATTCTGTCTATGGAACCCCCTTGTGATTCAGAGCTGTCCTGATCAAGGCCAGTGTGAGCCAAGGGCCTGGCCTGTGGCAAAGTCAAGCCGTGTGTCACTTGGGCTGCCAAGGTCTCCCAGAGACTGTGTGTTCGTAGTTAAACCCAGGACTGAGTCAGTGGAAGTGATGTCTGGTGTTACAGCCCTTGAGTGCGGAGCAGTGTCCCGCTCCTTGGAGGAACCTTTTCAGTGAACTGTCTTGGTCTATGGGCTTTTCTTTCTGTTAAACTTCAGCTCTAGTGAGACCCCTGGTTGCCCTCAGTTCTCAGCACCTGTTAGATCTCACATTTCCCAAGGCTGTGGCAGCATCGTTCAGCTGGGGTGACTTCAAGGCCCAATGTGAAGGCCAAGAGTTGCCCTTGGATCCTTCTCCAGGCTGCTGCTTTCAAGGCAATAGCTCAGGTGCTCCATTGTTCCTGAAACACATTAAAACATATATGTATTTGACATGCAGTGCTAATAGAGTCTAATTCTTGATACAATTCACCTGTTGCCCACTGCATGGGTAGGTGGGATTTATAAGCATCATTCAGGTGGGCTTGCAAGGGAATTTGAACATCAAGCACCCATTCTGCACAGCACCTCAGCCTTCAGCAAGCTCTTGGGACGTGGCTATTCAAAGAGGGGCAGAGGTAGCCAGGCTGAGTGCAGTGACTGCTTATGCTGGGCTCCTTGAGTGGCAGCTGTAGGAAGCTGAGTTTATTTGCATGTTTAGAACTGAATTTTGTCATCCTTGCCTCAGAGCCAAGATTTCATCCTTCCGTTCTGTGTCCTGCCCCTGAGCTGTTGCCTCGTCAAGTCCTCTGGGTGCCGCTCTTCAGCTCTTTCACGTCATGAGCATGAACTTTCACTGAGGACGAACCCATACAAATATTATGACCCAGAGTGGAGTTAATTTTCCATTCATCAGAACAGCTCAAATGACACATGGGATTTGCAAAAAGGGCATACCCTAATGTTGCGCCCTCGTGGTACGCTGAAATCCATCCATCATGTGAGCTGATGTGTTGCAGTTCTCTGGGAGGTAAAAATGCCAAAGATTATTTGTCTCTAAAGAGCCAGGGCAGAGCTCTGAAAAAGGAAAAACTTGGCACTGAACAAACCTAATTTCCTTCCATCAGTTGGTATTCAACCTCAGGGCAAATTAATCTCTATTGAAATCTGCTGTACTTGCCACCAAATTTGTTTCCTCTAAAAGCATCTTTTAAGGGGAGAAGGTTGGTGAGCAGAAGGTATATATATGTGTGTGCATGTGCATATATATATGTCTCTATATGATCAATTTTATGCTTACAAAAAGTTTTGTGTGGGCTTTTTTTAGTAATTTGCTTCTGTAAATAATAGTATACAAGTAAACAAGGCCAGAGAGGTTGTCAGTAGCTCGGTCTGTCATACAGCTTCAAGTCTCAATCATTTTGCTTCTGTTTAAAATTCAAAGTAGATGCCTAGAATTAAATAGCTGAATAAATAAATAGAAGTTCTTCAAATGAATAATATCCTCCTTATCACTTTATCTGAATTCACCTAAAGGCTGCAAGTTCAATTTAATTCTTCTACCATCCGCCAGCCTGAAATCTAATAGAAAGAAGAAAAATAAAAAAACAATCCCTGGCAGCTGGGCTCTGGTTCTTAACTTGATAGAGAGAAGGATGTTCCTTGAATGAGACGCCGTGGGAGAGATGAGTAGCTGGAAGGAGATTGTGATTCTTGCCACTGAGCTGTCCACAGCTACCGCTGCTGTAGCGCTGCAAAAGAGAAAGAAATGCTAGGGGCAAAAGATAACAGAGAATCCAGGGAAATGGCTGTATTTTGCTAATCCTTTTGCTCTTGTGGTGAGAATGGTCGATGTGTTCCAAATGCAGTCAGGATGCCAGGGCCGCTTCCTCGCGAAGGGGAGTTAACTCGGGCTGCGCCGCCTGGCGCGAGCGGCTCGAGCAGCCCCGCGGCTCCCCTCGAGCTGCCCAGGCCGTGAGAAGGGGCTGCCAAGACACTTGGTGCCACACTGTAGGCAGAGACCCCGGCGGGTGGAAAACCACATCAGGTGGCCCAAGGAGTGTTGCTGCCAGGCACCGTGCTGAAGGCTGAGCTGTGGATTTTCAATTATTGTTTTTTAAAATTTTCCTTAATCAGGATGTTCTCTCAGAAAGTTTTTTAAATATAGATGCTGGCTTCATAAACCCATCCTGGAATTTGGATAAAGAGTTTTCTTTTCCCAGCTTTTTTGGTTTAAAAAAAAAAAAAAAGGGATGCTTTATTTATTTTTTTATCTCCAGAGAGTTCCTTTTGGAGCAGGGGTTTATCTAATGACTTTTTGTCTAGGCTTATCACTGTGATAAGTGATCAAAAAAGGAGAGTCGGTCCAGATAATGTATAGTTTTGGTGCTGTATCTTATCTGGTGACAAAGAAAGAAATAAGGCTAGATAGGACTACACAGATCGTGTCTGCTCCCCTGAAGAACACAGGGCAGAAAGTCTTACTTAATAATTCTTACCACAAGCATCCTGGCGGTGGCTGAAGTGAAGCCTACATAAGTGGAGCCCATCTTGATAGGAGGATTGGAAGGCACCTGCTTCCATCTGTTTTGCCCTGATGTGTTTTATTTGCTGGCAGCTCAACTTGTCAGTGGCAGAATTACGACTCCACATTGGCAGGAATACAATGGGCTAATTCTTTTGTCTTTACACAACCCAATCGCGTCAGGAGTTTGATAGGGTGTGAGCTTTAGTTTTTGGCTTTTTTTTTTTGGCTTTTTTGGCTAGGTATACAGTGCAGCAGTTTGATTGCAGAGGTGAGTGCAAATACAGAAGGAATCAATCAGCTGCCTCAGGCTTCAGACACTGCTCAAGCAGCCCTGCCCCATCTCCATTGACAGGATGGTTCTGTGGGCCAGCTCCGGTCTGCCTGCTGGATCTCTGCTCAAAACTATTACCCATTAAAGAAACTGTAATATTCAGTGCAAGCACATACAGCTGATCTTTCCAGGCACACGTAGCCATCCATCACAGTTGTTCCACAGTACCTATCACCGGGTGGCAAACCCTTCTAATCTGACCATGGACCTGTCTCTGATTCCTAAATCCACATACTCAAAATCAAATGCACTGCCTTTGCTTACATGCTGATGTTTTTCTATTAAGGACTTACAGTTTGGATATTATAAGCATATAAGTTTCTTGACTCTATTGTCTTTTTAGCATGCAATCAACCTTCATTTTATTAAGCTAGAATTTATTTAGATGAAATTTATTTGAAATCCTGTTCAAAACATTGCCTATTTTATTATTATTTCTTTGTGATCTCATCGTAAAGCAGAGAGGCTATTTCTCAAAGGGAATTTTATTTCTGGAAAAAAGATTGCTCAAACTTGGAGGAAAGGCACTTACATATGATTTGATTATGAGTGAGTGCACTGTGGGTGATTAACTGTATGGAGAATGGTGTTGTTTGTGGTATTAAGTAGAGTATATATAAAAAGCATACATCTGAGACTTAGTCTGGAGCTGTACTGACATTTGGTTACACTACAATTGTGCCATTTGTTAGCCAAGAAGACACAAAATGAGCATTAGATTGAAAATTTGCCTTTTAAGAAGAGTCACTTCACTATCTTGAACATTTAAGTAGATTGATTTCCAACGTATCTGAGAATTTAGACCTTGTTCTGAAAATAGGAGTTGTAAATTAAGAGCCGTTTTCTTTCCCATACAGAAAAGAGATGTAATCCTCATCTTAAAAATGAATAATAAAATGACCTTGAGTGTGAAGTCGCTACCTACCACATCATAGTTGGGCTAACTAATCTGATTTGCCTTTCATCCCATTTGATGTTAGGAATTTATGTGCCATCAATCACCACCTTCCTGTTGGGCTGAAAAAGCCAGGGGAGCCGCCAGCTTTGTCATATGGCAGCAGGAGTGAATGTGTTGATAGCTGAAATCAGGAAGCACAGAAATGTGTGAAAAGGTTTTGGAAACACCAACCTGCTTTTGAGCCTCAGTAGTTCCGTCTGGGTTAAATGTGTGAGGAGGCGATTGCCTTATTAGCCTTCCCCAGCAGTGAGGATGATATATAACTGTGCAGGACAATCCATTCATGCTCCTTGAGTTCTTCAGCTGATTTTAATCCTTGATGGAGCAGCAGTCCTTTCTGTTCTTCCTCAGAATTTATTCTCCTTCTGTTTCTGTCTTTCAGCTGTACAGCTCCATGGACTTTGGAAGAAAATGGCAGCTCATGCAGGAGCGCGTCACTCCAAACAGGTTTTACTGGTGAGTTGTGCTCTCCAGCTCTGCTTGTTTCGGGCAGGTCAGTGAGGGGAGAAGGGCACCCAACCTGGATGATGAACTCTTTTACCTGGGCACTTAGTTGGTTTTAATTCTAATGAGTGTCACTTGCTCAGTTCGTGGTAGATCTCTTGCAGTCCTGTAGCTGAATGCTTCCACGTTTACGTGTTTCTTGTGCCTTATGCAGGTAACTGTGGGTCTTCAGATAATTACAGAATACTGACTTCACCATCCTTATGGAGCTACTTAGAATAACACTGAAACACTGCCCCAGTGCTTCAGTGGCGAAGCTGCAATCATTAAATTTCCTGTTTATTCAGTTCTTTAAAGAGTTATTTTAGCCTACAGCACAGTCTTAATGCAGAGCCAACCACTCCAAGGAGTCCCTGTATGCAACCCTTGGGAAGAAAGGATGACTCCAGCTTTGAATCACACTCTGATGAGCCAGTTTCTTTCTGTTAAAATCCCAGGATGTACATACCATTTTGTAAAAAAAGTTGGTCTTTTCCCTTTCCAAGAGCCAGGGAGACTGTCTTAAAAGCAGAAAATTAAACAAGTGTCCAGACACATCCATTTCAAATGCTCCTTTTCCCAAACTTCTATCCACCATGTGAAGATCTAAGAATTGACTTTAAAGAAGAAAGAAAAAGAAGCAATCAAAACACCTTCTTCTGCTTCCTCTGGAGTTCAGTCTAGTAGTTGGGGCTTGAATCAAATTCTCAACATTGCAATGTCAGATGGTGGAAGTGTGTGTGTGCATCTGTGCATAATTTAAGAAATGTCCAGTCCTTCAGGTTAGAGAGGATGGGAATGTTAGAGAACTAGAGACCCTTATTTTGGAGGGTCGAAGACAAACCACGGCAGATGAGCGATAAGAACGTGTGTGACCAAGAGGAGGTAGGTGCTCTGTGAGTGCATCTCTCTGTGTCTGCACAGCACAGCTGGTCCGGTGAGACAATTGTACCTAGCCTTTCAAAGAGACTAGCTGAGTTGGCTTAGAAGGGCGATTTTCTTGGAGAAGAATACTTAAAGGTTGAGCTGACCTGGGAACAAAACTGTATCTCCTTCTGAAGGAGAAGCTGTTTTCCCCCTTAGTTTCATGTAGTAATGATTGATAGAAGTTACCTGTTTATCTGAGATCATTTGACACCCAAACCTGGAGTTAGTTTTCTACAATCTACCTGATTCTTTACACAATCCTTTGGGTGTGTAGTTCGAATGCTCTTTTCTTACACTGCATTGTACAAAGCCTCTCTTTCAAGTGTCCTTTCTCTTAGGAAATGCAAAAGGCTTCTGCTGTTAGGGCTCATATGACATAGACCTGGAAATCTTTACTCAGAAGCAACAGAATCCCATTGAGAATAAACTTTCCAAGAGAGTGAATTAGGTTGTTACCAGTGTGAGAGAGATTTGAACAAATTTGTAGTGCACGGGTCAGAAATGTTGGAATTTTGTATCATAACAACGCCCCTTAGCTGTCCGGTTTATTTCTTTTTGCCTTTCTTTCTTTCTAAAGCTGTAAAATGTGATGTCTTACAAGCTCTGGCCTGCAAGATATGTACACAAAAAGAAGTGCAAGGAGAGGAGTTTAGCCTTGGGAATTTGATTATTATATTTATTGGGCTGTAGAATAAGGAAAAGGTGGATATAGTTCTAAGTTTCAGAGCGAAATGAGCTACTATACTGTGGAGTCCATCAGCCTATAAAATACTACATTATCATTGCTACATTATGTCCTGATTAAAACTTGTGGTGGAATAATAACAATAGGGTGATGCCAAAATCAGAGGTGAACTGCTCATTTGTGCTTCTCTGCATCGTATATTAGTAGAGCACAGCTGAGCCTCTGCTGCCAAACAGGAGCGCCTTCATCTGATTTGAATGCAGCTGGCAGCATCGGGGGCAGCCTTCATCTGACGTTTTTTCTTTCCAAACATGAGCTTCGTCTCTCAAGCTGCTGGGGTTGGGTTTGTGAAGACTGTAATCTTCAGCTGGTTCATGGGATCAGTCAGCCTGACAGGGAGCAGGCTTATTTTTCTCACGGAGACCTTTCCAAAGGCTGGGAGAACTCGGGCACAGAGATTTAAGGCCAGGAGGAAATTATAACTGTATCAGGGTTGGCAAAATTGGGATGTGAATTTTCACTAAGTTGAATGAGCAAGACCTCTTAGGTGTTCACAGACACTCTGTGCATTTTGCTGTGGGTACTCTGAAATGTTCTTTCTGCACTGCTTTCTTACTGCGCAAAAATAAAACCCAGTCCTGATGTCTGGCTTCATACCCTGGCTCTTCAGTTCTTTTCCTTGGTCGCACATTTCGGTGCTAGGCAGTAGGCTGTGCTTCATCGTCCTCATCCCGTTTGGATATTGCACGTAACTCAGTTTGTGGAATATCTCTCGCTAGTTCCCACAGGCAGCTCATAGCTTGTGCATGAGCTGAGATTCTTGTCTGGGCCACTTGTAGTTATAAAAACTAGGATTTGAGATCTTAACTTCTGTAGTAGTGATTCATTTGTTAGCTACTGCCGCTGATGGCAATGGCAGAGCTTGAACAGTGGGTGTTACTTGCTGTGAGTGCGGGCATCCAAATTTGGTTCCCATGTGCCTTGGTCTCAGAGATTTTGATAACATTGGAACCTCTAAAGCTGGAAATAGGAGCTTAAGCTAATGTTAAACAGAAATTCCCAGATCGCTCACCAATCTGTATGAAGTGACTCAAATAAACTTTGCACCCATGCTGTTTTCAGTTAGAGGCCTACTCAATGTTCTTTTCTTTTAAAGCACATTTTTGCAACTCCCCCGGGCCCTGTTCATTTTCTCGCAGTGTATATTAGACACCTGTGCTGACATGTGGAGGGATATAAAAAATATGGTCCATATTTTGTACTGTAGAAATGCTGGGGAAGTTTCTGCATTTGTGAAACACATGGTTTGCCCTGTGCTGACTAATCCTGGCTCTGCTCAGATAAGAACTCAAAAGTCTTGAATTGTCCTGAAGTTGCTTCACTGCCCCTGCCCTTTGCAGAGGTAGGACAACAGGCCGGAGGGAGGACAGTTTTGTTAATAGAGCATCCCTTCTGCCTCGTGTAGTCCTTTGCTGGACCACAACTTTCTCCTGCCACCTTGGGTAGCTCTCTTAAGTTGCCATTGTCTTGCTCCCTGCTACATAAGGCAGGGATGGGGGAGTGTTTGTTTTGTTGTGGGCAATGAATGAAGTGCTCAAATACTGTGTTATCAGGGGCTACTCAAATCTGTGTTATCAGGAGCTATTGCATATCCATGCATGGATTAAAAATAATGAAGGGCAGTAGGGAGTTGAAAGGTGCTTTAATGGCATATAAAGTCCTTTTATTGTCCTGCTGCTTAATTCTTTAAAATGGGGAGTTCCACAAGGTGACCTGTGTTTTCTGACTGATCAGCTAAAGGGCTGTGAGCATCATCCGCTGTCCATCTGTCCCTGGAGGGCCTGCCTGTATTTGCTGAGCTCACAGAGCTGGCGTGGAGGACAGAGCTCTGCTCCTGGGGACACCCTCTTCCTCAGCGCCTGTCCCGTGCTCCGTGCGGGGGGACCCGTTGTCTTTCCTGCCTCTTGTTGACGCTGGGGAATAGGAGACACTTCATATGAGGCTGTTTTCGCTTTGTTTTACCTGATACGTATAGACATTTGGCCTTTTGTATCCAGCCTGTTTTTTTAAAAAAAACTGCCATCTGGGAATTTGGGTGATTCTGACCGAGAACAGTGGGGAAAACCCATCTGTGTGGGAGGGAGGTAGAAATCTGTGCAGCATTTCTGTAGGGCACAGTGAAATTTGGAGCACTGAGGAGGTCAGTGCCCAATAGGAGTCTGATCTATAAAAGACACTGCAACATAAACTAATTATGTAAGAGCAGGATGGAAAACACCAGGAAGGCAGGAGGGGGGAGCAAGAAAATAGGACATGCCCTAATCTGCCTCTAAGAAGCAATGTTTGTATCACAGAACAGGAAAAACCTGGTGTAACAAGCAGTTTTTCAATGTACTGCTGATTCCTTCACTGAATCTCCTGAGTTTTTTTTTCCTCTCTGTGACAGCCAAGCAGATATCTAGTTGTTTTGGTATCCGTGCTTGCCAGCCTCAATCATTTTGAACTCTGGGGATGAAAATGGGAGAAAGGAAGAGCACAGACCAGGCTTTGGATGTTCAGGGTTATCTCTCACAGTTGTTTGAGACATGAGGCAGCAAATTTTCTCTCTTGAGGACAGAGTTTTCGGGCCTTCTTGTAATTTTTTTGAATATAAATAGTGATAAGAGTAGCCATTTTTTTCTGTTCTCTTTTCAGCTTGAATTTCAGGAGGACTGTTGCAGAGACTGGTTTGGGTATCTGAGAATATAGCAGGCACAGCCAAGGGGCCCTAGGTCATGATCTGCGCTTAGATCTGCGGGTGGGTGGAAGTCGGTCTCTTAAGTTTTTATTTCCTCATTTCTGTGGCAGCACTGATATTTCCTAATCCCAGTGCCCATTCAGGTCCCTGCGGACTGTCTCAGCAGCAGGTCCACAAGTGACCTTTGGATACAGCTCAGGTTAGCTTTACTTGGCTTGTTTGCCAGCAGTGAAATGGTTATTCAAATATGTGCCTCTCTCTTCTGTACATCCCACTAATCATTAACTACCAGATGGTGTCATTGCATAGTGCTGGGGAAACATCGCTCGAGTTTTTACAGCCAATTTTAGCGTTAAGAAAACATAGCTTTGTAAATGTCAAATTGACTATTAAGTAATCCTGCATTTGAGTTTTTCAGAATTAAAACAATACAATCTTTGGGGCTGTGGAAAGAAGGAATACTTCCAGGTTGGCAACCAGGGATAACACCACCTTGGCACCATCGAGGCGTGTATCCAGTGGCCGCTCGTTAGTGCATGGAGAACTGAGCAGGGATTTTTTGGCAGGTGCTGCCACAGGCTCCTGTGACCTAATGGCTCTTTTCCCGTTGTGAAGGGACTTGGC